CCCTGGGGGAGGTGGGTGGGGGCTGGGACCACTGGGTGAGGGGTGGGATTGGGGCTCACCCACCGTGATGATGAAGGGCAGTGTGTTGACCATCTCTAGGATGAAGGACACTCGGATGATCTGCTCCCAGATGTTGCCCTGGGGGTCAAAGGGGGCTTCAGAGCTGGTGCAGGTAGGACAGAGGACAGGGACGGTGCAAGGGCAGCCTGGGAGGTCAGGGAGTGGTGCTGGGGGCAGGAGTGAAGAGGAGGCAGGATGGTGGGGACCTACTTTGTAGCTGAGGTAGATGAGGAGCATGGTCTCCAGGAAGCTTATTGTGGCCACGATGACCTAAGAGGAGAGAGGGACAAGGAGCAGACGTGGGTCTGGGGTCTGAGGCAGGGCCAGGCCACGTGTGTCTCTGGGTGAGCACCCTTTGTGTGTACGTGTGCACAAGGCTATGGGCTTTGGACAGGTTCCTGACCAGGGGGCAGCCTGAGGGGCAGGGACCATGGAGAGCGGTCATGCTGCTGCCCCAGGAGGTGGAGGTGGGCCATGAGGGCCACATCGGGGGCTCTGAGATGGTGGGACAGGGCAGGGCTTGCTGGCAGTCTGCCAGGGAAGGGCTGGGCTGGGTGGAGCCTCTTCCAGACACAGCCTCTCTGAGCTGTGAAGTGGGGCCTGAGGCCCTCTCTGGGGGAGGCCAAGCATCCAGTCATGAGCCAGTGCCACCACCCAGAGACCTGAGCAATGGCAGGGCTGGGGAGACCCCCAAGAGCTGGCCTGGGCCACCTACCCTCCCTTGCATCCCCTAGGGAGACAGCAAGCTTGAGGGGTAGCAGGAGGGAGAGGTTCCAACAAGAAATGGAGGGGGGTGCGCCCCAGCAGTCCCTGGGTGTGTCCTAAGTGCCCCCTGAGCCCAGCTCCATCCTGGAGCCCATCAGGCCTGGGTCCCCTGCCCACTGGGCCTGGGTGTGTCCCAAGTGCTCCCTGAGCCCGGCTCCTGTCACGGCTGCCCTCTGCTGTGGGGAGAGGAGCAGGTGGGGCACTCTCACCTGAATCGCCCACAGAGCCATCTTCCTCTCCACCCACAGGATTGGGGCCCTGGGGAGAGAAGGCAGATGAGCCTTGGGCAGGGTGCAGCACCAGGGGCACGGCCATCAGTGTCCCCCTTGCCCCTGGGCCCAGCCCAGACAGGCTCAGGAAGAACATCTCAGAGGCAGTGGGGGCCCCACAGCCAGAGGCAGAGACTAGCTGGGGGACCCCGTTGTCCCCCTCTGAAGGGGACATCCCCAGCACTGATCCCAGCCAGGGTCGAGAGGGCAGCTGAATGTGTCCACAGGGACCCTGGGCAGCATTCAGGCTGAGGCTGGCCATTGCCCTCAGAGGCTAGGCAGCGTGAACTCCATCCACACTCACCATGTCCACCCCATGTCCCCTGACCCTGGCAAACAGGAGCAGCAGGAACTCACCAGTTGATCTCAGAGGAGGAGCCATTGAAGGTGTACTTCTGCTTCACACAGCCCCAGCTGCGGACAGACAGAGAGCTGGCCTGGCCACGGGCCCTCCGGCCAACCCCAAGGCCCTCCTTGGGCTGCCATGGGCTCAGGGTACATGGGAAGGGGACCCGGCCCCAGGTACCGAGGGGTGCCAGAGCTCTAGAATTTTGTCAGAGACCCTGCAGGGATGACGTGTGGGCTCTGCTTGACAGACCACACCCTCACCTGGGATCTGGGCCGACAGTGAGACTCTGGCAGGAGATAGCCAGGGACTCTGCATGGTCACACACTCCCTGGAAGGTCCCACACAGCCAGAGGCAGAACCAGGGGCCCTCCAGGCCTCCTGAGGCCAAGCCACCTCAAACAAGGCTGGATGAGGCTTAGTGGGGACCAGGCTCCTGCCCCAAGGGGCTGGCTCAGCAGTGCAGGGCCCTAAGCCACTCTGGAGGACAAGTGTGTCCAAGCCGCCTGGGATCAGCTGGCTGGTGGGTGGCAGGGCCCAGTTGGCAGGCAGGGCACAAGCTTGCATGCCCGTTGGCTGCTTCTGAGCCTATGAGAGGGGACCCCCGCCTCTTTCCTGGCCTACTTCCCTCCAGAAACTCCCCAGGGTTGGTGCAGACTCAAGGCCATCCATGGTCCACCACTCCCCTACCTCCGGCCCTCTCTCCCAACATCTGCCCGCCTGTCTCTCGTCACCATCCATCCCTTTATCCACCCACTCACGTTCTCACCTGGGATCCACCCGTGCGTCTGCCCCAGCCACCCTCTTACCTCTGTCCACCCACCCACCTTCCATCTATCCAGCCATCTACCCCGCCATCATCTGCCCATCCATCCAGACCTCAACCCGTGACCTCCCCACCGTCTCTCTGCCTGCCCACCACCCTCTCACCCTCCTCCCACCTCCACCCACGTGCCAGGCGCTGTGCTAGGGATGGGTGATGAACACCACACACTGGGCCCTCTGGGAAGGGGACCAGAGGCCCAGGAGCTTCCAGGACTTGGGGAAGGTGAGATGGACCCAGAAAGGTGGTTGAGAGTCAGTCAGAACTGCTGTGGGGGGCTCTGCCGCCCCTGACCCGGACAACCACAGGGGTGTGTTCTCAGCTACGGGTGGGGGTCTCTGGCCTGGGGATGCCAACTCCTATTAAACAGTGGGTGGGTGGCAGACGAAAAGGAAGGTGAAGAGCAGGTCTGTACACAGACAGCCTCCAGGGCCAGCTCCTTCCCGGCTCAGCTTCCAAGACCCCCGCAGTTAGGGACGCCTACACTGAGGGGCCTGAGAGGACCCCGAGCCAGTGACCAAGGGGAGGCGGTCTCCAAGGACATTATTCAAGACAGTCCGGCCCTGAGGGCTGCTGGGCCAACCCAGAAATGAGAAGAGCCTGACCCAAGCATCCCTAAGCAGAGACCCAGCAGCTTCCAGGGAAGGATCGGGGCTGGGACTCAGCAGCAGCGGGGAGCAGGAGGACCACACAGAAACCTCCAGAGAAGTTCCCCCCATTCCTCGAAAGGCTCCTGCAGTCTGCAGGTGACTCTTCCTCAACATGGCCAGAATACGCCTGCCCTGACGGTGAAGGAGTGACCCAGGAAGAGGCCGCCGTGGGCCAGGAGGGTCAGGTGGAACCTCAGAGAGGGGCCAAAGCCCTAGCCAGTTTGCATCCTGCTGCAGGGGGCTCCCCCAGAGGCTGGGACCCTCTTGGAGTGAGTGTGAAGACCCTCTCTCATGCAGGGGACACCTGGACCCTCCAGGCTCCCTGGACCTTCTGGGTCTATGTGCAGCCACACATGTAGCTCCAGCAGGGGGGTTCCTCTCCCCACGCTGAGCTTGGGCAGCATACTGGGCATGGCTTTGACTGGGCACGGGGCTTCCTAGAGGCCAGGCTGGGTGCTGGGTGCAGTCCCCCCAGGACCCAGGCAGTCAGGTGCAGCCCAGGGCCCAGGACCCCTTCTTCCTCCAGCCCCACGGGTCACACCCACCATCCGATGCCCAGGGCCGGGTTGTCCAGCAGGACCCGGATGATGTAGAGCAGGCAGGTGAGGAGCTTCAGGGAGAAGTTGAACAGCCGGATCCTCAGGCCTGGGGGAGGCAGACGTCAGGCAGGCCCGCAGCCCCCTCCAATAGCTCCACCCTGGAGGCCCCACCCGGGCCCCTTCAGGAGGCACCATGTGCCCACTGCACAGAAGTGGAGTCAGGACCCAGGGGGTTTCCTGAGGCTGCCCCTCCGTGGCTGGGGGGCCTGGAGCCCACACACGTAACCTCCGAGCCCCTCTCTGACTCCCTGGGAGGTCCAGGGTGGCCAGTCTTGAAGCTGGGAAGGAGTGAGCAGGGGCCTGCGTGGAGGAGGCCTTGCCCAGCCCCATCTGGTGTCCAGCAGATGGGGCAGTGTCCCCACAAATCCCACACGGCTCCCAAGAGATGTGCGACTCTCAGGCAGAGGGAATGCCCCGGGCGCCCACGGCTCAGCGACACAGCCCCAGCCACACTGGCTTCCTCTGGGGCCCCTCCCCTCCTGCCTGGGAGCGCCCAGCCCCCACTCACTGGATCTTTGGTTTTTGATGAAGAACAGTTTGAGCCGCTCCTTGAATGTGTTCTCATTCACGTAGAACTCCACCTGGACCCTGGGGCAGGAGAGGGGACGGGTGGCAGCCAGCGGGAGCCTGGCGGGGAGGCAGTCCCAAGCCCCACTGACTTGTCCCAAGCTGCAGGACTGAGAGGCATGCCCACCTTGGACCCAGGAAGCCACCTATTACAGCCTTCCCCGTGCCTCCCCCAGCACACGAGGGCCACAAGCCACTGCCTGCTCAGCGTCCAGGGCCTGTGGGCCCCAAGGAGGCTCAGGCTATGGCACTCACTGGGCTTTGGGCACACAGAGCTCAAAACACACCCCAGGACCTATACGGAGTCCCCAGAAGCTGACGGCCATTCATGGTCTGGTGGCTTCTGGTGGCTGGGTTCTAAGACTACCGCTCAAAGCAGCGTGAAACTCAGGCAGTCGGGCCAGGAGGGCTACAGGCAGCAGTCAGCCTGAGCTGCCCTGCAGGCCAGCAGCGGAACCCCCTAGCACAGGCCCCTTCCCTTGAGCTCCCCTGCAGCCCCTGGCCATTGGCCCCAGGCCCCCGTCACTTACACACATGACTGCCTACAGGCCGTCTCCAAGCCCTCTGCCCAGCATGGGCTCTCTGCAGTCCTGAGAACAGACCACAGTGGAGCCAGTGGGAGTGGCCTGAGGGTGCCAGAGGGCGCCAGCACATGGCCCACCCACTGCTGGCCCCATCTGGTCTCTGGGAGTAACATGGAGTCTGATGGCGACAGCTACTGCCCGGCTCTCTGTGCCCAGCTCTGCTGGAGTTCGCGCCCCGTTGGGGCTCCATGTCCCACCGAGGTGAACCGCCAACAGTCATTCCAAGGATGACGAGCGGGGCTAGAGCCGGGCTTCCTGCAGCTGGGGTGGGGATGGCCTGTCCCCCAGGGCCATGCCCCTGTGGTGCTGGGCACCGACCTCCCTCAGCATGACCTTGGGCGTCCTCCATCACAGGCTGAGTCCCTCCCTGCTCCAGAGCAGGGTCAGGTGGGGCGACTGTGTGTGGGTAGGATGACGGTGTATGTGGGGCACACAGTCCCCACCTCGGCACAGAGCAGGGTCATGACCTGGGAGGGCAGCCGGGCAGAGGGCCCACGGGCAGAGTCCTGCTGCGTGGAGGAGGTCACCAGTGGAGGCGAGGCCAGCGCAGGCCCAGGTCCCTGTGCCCACCTCTCCCCACTCCCCATCATCAACCACGGGCAGGGGCCTCTCCCAGTGGCTGGGCCATGAAAGCTCTCCTCTGCATGGGTGTGGGCTCTGTGGAGGCAGCTGGAGAGTCTGAGGTCACTGCCTGGCCCGGGCATGCTGCCCCCACGTCCTGAGAGGCATTTGAGACAGGTGAAAGGACGGGGGGCTGAAACACTATAGTATTCAGAGGTGGGCTCTGGGACGCAGTCAGTAGCCTGGAGCCCAGGAGGGAGTCCTGGTGGCCTCACAGGAGGAAGAGACAGACAGCAGGAGTCATACACGTGGGTGCACCCGCGCCAGGCCCTGCTTTGACTGCAGGCTCTGCCAGCAAGAAGCCATCACCAGATGTGGCCCCAGGACCTTGGAGCAGACCACGAGCCAAATAAGCCCCTTTACTTTACTATGCATCAGTCTGCAGTCCGTAGCTGGCAATAGAGACCGACTGCACCCTCCCGACGTGGACCTGACCCTGTTCGCTCTGACCCCCTCCCCTCCCCCAGATGGGCTGGGACCCAGGTACTTCCTACCTCCTCCAAAGCTGCCCCCCACCCTCTGTGCAGCTAAGAGCCCCCAGCTCCAGGTCTACCCTGTGCCCTCTGCCTGGTCTCACTGGACAGTTGGACACCATTTCATGGGACATTACTGCTTGTCCACCTGCCCTGCCTGCTTCCCTAAGGCTCACCTCTGACCTCCCACCATCAGGCCCAAGAGGCCCACCCAGCCTCCCCTCCTTGGGTGGACGCCTTGCCCACCACAGCTCAGGGTCCTCTATCTCTGGGCACCCCCCCCCCACTCCTGGCTCCCTGTCTTCTGCCCTCCAGGCTCTTTCTCTGCCTCTCTGGCTCGTCCTGGCCCCTGGGGCTGGCTCTGCTCCGGCTCCTGCCTTCGGCTCCCCCAGGCTCTGAGCTCCCCAAACGCAGCTGCCTGCAAAGACCACGAAGCCACTGCTCCGCCCCACAGTCAGGGAATGGAGAAGCCCACCCGTGCTCCTGCTGGCCTGCCTGCGGCTTCCAGGCAGCAGTGTCCCTGCTTGGGCACCGGGGCAGGGGTCAGGCCTGCTGACCATAGCTGGTCACACCCTGGCCTCTGGTTCCAACACCCCATGAATAGAACACAGGGCCACCACTCAGGGAGTGAGTGCCCGGTCAGCTGTGGACATCCGTCTAGGCAGCCCCCAGGGCTCCGGGTGGGCAGCACCCACCTATGGGGGAAAGGGGTTCTCCATGAGGAGCCAGAGAAACCCGCGGGACCTGGCAGCAGAACTGGAGCTGGCCCTGCAGTGCCAGAGAAATTAATGATGCTTGGCTTTTGATTTGTGATGAGCTGTGGCCGCCACTCCTGACCCCACCATGAACAGTAGACCACACTGTCTTCTTCCCCAAAGCATGCTGACCATGCAGCGGCCCTGATGACCCTCCAAGGGCCAAGGGCAGCCCTGGGGAGGGAGCCTGGCTGGGGTTGTGGGCCACCTCCTCCTGCAACGGGCACTCGCTGGCTTGTTCTGAGCTCCTAGGGTCACAGCCTGCAGTCGGGGGCCCAGGCTGCTGGAAAGCCAGACCTGGCCACTCCTCACCTGCCCTCCTGGCTTCCTCTCCTCCTCCCCAGGGAGTGGGAACAATGGCAGGAACTGCCTCCCACACTGTG